CAGTTTGTCTCACTCACCTCACCACAAGTCAGTGCACGCCTCCCTGTCCATCCTGTTTTCGACTCCGTTCGCAGACTCCCGTTCACAGAGCTTCTGCGCGTCTCTCTCCTTTCCGAGCCGATGTATAGGCAGCCAGCCACCGAGCGGCGGGAAACCCAAATCACGGCTTCCAATGGCGCGGGGTCCGGGCTCCACACCGAGTCTTTTCTGTTCCTATTTTAGCTCAGGACTGCATTCCAAGTTGGGTTCTCTCAGCCCAGTTCGTTCCTGAGTCAGTAGAGCATATCTCTACCGGCTTATGTCTCCTTAGTCCGCACCATTCCTGACTTCTGAGCCGAGCCTTTCAGAGAGCCTCCGGTAGTTGCTGTTATCTGTCCACCATGTTCTCCCGGAAGCCTGAAATAAAATTTTTTAAAAGAGATGTATTATGGTCTTTGTGATTTTAATTTGTATTTCCTTAATGATGTTGAACATTTTTTTCTCATGATTACTTGCCATCTGTGAGGTTTCCATTCAAATCTTTTATTTTTAAAATTGGGTTGTTTTGTTATGAAACAGTGAAAGTTCTTGACGTATTCTGGATACATGTCATTTACCAAATATATACTTTATAGGGAATTTTTTTCTATGTGGATTATCATCTCATTCTCTGAATGGTATATTCAGAAGTGTAAATTGTGTATAAAGGTACATACCTCTGACTCCAGCACTCAAAGGCTGAGGTAGGAGGACACAAGTTCAAGGTCAGCCTGGGTTACATAGTGAGTTGTTCCAGACCTGCCTGAACTACCTATCTCAAAAACAAACAAACAAATAAACAAACCGCACACAAAAAATCAAAACAAATAAAAAAACAGAAGTGAAGATTTTAATTTTGAGGTCCAATTTACCAATTCTTTTCCTCTTATGGATTACATTGGTATCCAACTCTTTTGGTAATAGACTTCCTTCTGTTTTTCTTTTACAAGTTTTGTGGTTTCACAGTTTGAGATAAAAATTTACATTTAGAGAAGGAAGAAGAGGGCAGGGAAAGGAGGAAAAGCAAAGAAAGGGAAGGAAAGGGAAGGTAAAATAAAGCAGGAAGGAAAAGGCATAATTGATCTTGTTCTTGACATCTGTAAATCTTTACAACTTCCAAGTGACAAACAGTGCCTTTGTTATTCATGGTGAGCCGCCAGTATCACACCTGAATTCTGGTTGGGGGGGGGGGGGGCTGGCCATGCCGGGAAGATCAATCATGTGATTGGAGAGTTCAGGCTTTAAACTGCGATTCTCAGCCCAACCTGAGGGTGGGGTAGAGACTCAGTTCAGTCACACAGCCAGTGATTCAATCATGCCTACATAATGAAACCCTAGTGAAAACTCAGGGCTACTGCAGCTTGGGTGAGCATCTCTGGTTGGTCAGTACATGCCAATGCCTTTGGGAGGGTAACTTGTCCTGAGGACATGGAAGCTCATCATTGGGAACATCTGAGAGTACAGTGTGCCTCTCATCACTTGGCCGGTCCTGATTTGTATCCTCCACAGTAAAACTATGCATACAGTGATTTCCTAAGATCTACAAATGAGTTGAGTCAGCTACTAGAGGTGAGGAGAGAATGCAAATACCCAAGTTTGCAACCAGCTGGCCAAAAATCCAGTACCCTCGTAACCCTGGGGCTCAGCCTGTGTGTAAAGGAGTCTTGTGAAGACTGTGCCCTTAGACTGTAAAGTCTGTTAACCCCAAACGAACTTAACAGTGTCAGAATTGCACTGGCTTGCAACTTGAAGTCATGAACTTTTTTGCTGACTCCTTCAGTTCTTTTTCTGGGGGTACGGGGAATTGAACTCAGAACCTCGCCACTTGCCAGGCGGGTGCTACACCACTGAGCTATACCCCTGGCCGTGCTTCTTTCAGTTCTGTCAACGTCTGCTCCTTTATAAATTTTTGGGGTATGCTGGAGATGGTGCCCAGAGCCACACATGCTAGCCAGGTGCTTTACCACTGAGATACAACCCTATCCTTGCTGATCACATTTAGGACTGTTTTCTTGACAAGCTAAAGACCCCTCACATACACACCTCCAAGACTGGTAATGAACCTGAAGATTTTGCAATGAGCTACACATCTGGGCCTTTACTTTTTGAGACAGGGTCTCACCTAATTACTCATGCTGAGTTGGACCAGCCTCCCAGTCTGTGATTACAGGCACATGCCACCACGTCAATTTTTTTTTTTTTTTTTTTTTTTTTTACCAGAAGCGAACTCACGACCACGCACTTGCAAGGCAGGCACTTAGGCTGCTGAGCTAAATCCCCAGCTTGCCACCACATCAACTTATTTCTTACCTTTAGTTCCTGTTTCCTTGGTTTTTTTTTTTTTTTTTTTTTTGATAGGCTCTTACTATGCAGTTCAGGCTGGTTTTGCATTCCCAGCGATATTCCTGCCTCAGCCTCCTGAATGCTGGGATTACAGATATGTGTCATCACAACCAGCTCTCTTCCCCTCATTCAGACCCTAGAGAACAGTCTAAGCCCAGGTGACCACTTGTGTTGCCTCCACTCCTGAATGCTTCCATTTCCTTGCTGTGCCATTCCTCTCCCGTTGAATTCTACACAATCCTCCTTAGATACATCAGCTGGTAGTGGCTTCTCATTTTCCTTAACCCATGAATGGATTTGTTTTGTGTTCAGCCCTGAAGGCCATTTGCACTTGGTATGGAATCTGGAATTGGCAGTCCTTTCAGCTTTCACAGAATGTGCTACTTCTTTCTGCCTCCATGATTTCTGATATCATTATTCAAATGATTGTTTCTATATATGTTTTTTCTAGCTGCTTCCATTGTCACTTTAGTTTTCACCAGTTTCTCCAAGGGCCAGCCTGGGACCTGGGTGAGGCTTCATCTTTGGTAACTGGAGTAGCCTGGATCCATACCCACATGGCTGGGGTGACCACAGGTGTTCATAATCTGCTTTAAGAGGTCTTTTGTTTGGTGACTGAGTTCTGTTCTCTCCCCAGTACTTCCTGGTTCCTTCTCCGTTTTCTGGCAATGATCTGCTGCCGTGCTCCCGTCCAAACTCAATAAGAGAGAAGCAACGAGGGCTGCTCCAGCCTCTTGCAAACACAAATGTCTACCAGGGTTTCCAGTTCAGGTACTCGACATGGGCACCTCCTTAGGCTGCCTAGCGGGTGAGAACAGCAGGTTTCTACATTCTCTTGGAATTATGGAATTTCCCTCCCACTCCCTCTTAGCACTCTCTCTGCACCCCATCCTCAATCCCAGATTTCCAACGTGCTGTTTGGCTGCAGGATATGAGAGGGGAAAAAATGAGGCTCATCACTGGTTCAGTCTACTCTATAAATTCTAGTTTTCCTCAATCTATCTGGCAGGGTCTTCTTTTCAGAGTGCTTAAGAAGTCACAGTGGGCAGTTTATAGTGGAGCCAGATTAATACTTGTTATTTTTAGTGTGCAAGAGCTAAGTTGCCCAGGCCAGCCTTGAACTTGCAATCCTCTTTCTTTTCTCTGTCACCTGAGTGCTAGAATTACAGGAATACATCACCACTCCGTTTCCCTGTTTTAGGAGAAAAAATACTAAATGCTAATAATAATGCTACCGTTATTTGACATTTAATAAAAGAAGCAAACAGAAGGGTGTAATGAACATTATGTTGAGATTTCATTTTTTGTTTTTAGCAAGATGAACAAGAGTTGCTATCCATAGCTTTGTGCAATTCACTTCTCTTGCATCCACTCATTCTTAATTTTGGAACACATTTTTCTTGAGATAAGTTCTCACTAAACAATTCAGGCTGGCCTTGAATTCACTGACTCATTGCAGAGCCCAGGCTGGTCTCAAACTCAAGAGATCCTCTTGCCTCCCAAGAGCTGGGGCTACAGGGGTGCGCCACCACACTCAGCCCCAGCATACTGTCAAGACTGGTGCCATTATACAGCCAATTTTAGATTGTGTGTGGTGCTGAGGATGAAACCCAGGGCACTGCCCATGAAAGGGAAGAACTTTATTACTGAGCCACATCCTCATCCCCTAGATTCTTCTAAGAGAAGCAGAAGATACTACTGTAAACTGCTGTCAACAGTGCCTCCAATCAATGACTTGGAGCTATAAGGAAGCTGGTAGGCTAGGTAATACTTGAAAGGGAGAAGTCAGCACTTCACAATACAGAATGTTTGTAGCCTTGCACTTTTTTTTTCGGCACCAAGGATCAAACTCACGACCTTACACTTGCCAGGCAGGCACTTATGCCCTGGCCCAAGAATGTTTGTAGCCTAACAGTAAAATTTAGGGCTCTGCTCCAAGTAGAATGCATTCTTTGATCAAAATAGCACAAAACAATTTGCTAAAAATACATCCATGAAAGTGTGATTATACCAACTAGATAACAGTTTCTGATTTAAAAGAAAAATATTCAGGGTACGAATATTATACTCAGGTGTTACACAGCCTCTAAGAACACAGAACAGCCAAGATTCAACCCAGGCAACCTGACTTAGGCTCTCTTTTTCTAAAGACTCCACTACAAGCTACAAGATCTCAAGGAACCCAAATATCAGACCTTCCATGCCAGAGTGTCTCTATGAAGCAGTGCTACAAGCAGAAGTTTTAAAAGAGTAAAACATAGCCATGCTCTTTGCCAGGCTCACCCTAATTAGTTCTAGGGCGCAAAAATTCTATACTATCTGATGCAGCCTTCCTAATTCAAGAAAACAATTCCTGTCATCAGCATACAGCTCAGAGAAAGCTGTATAATAAAAAAGTACCAAGAAAACTAATAAAAACTTTTACTTGCAGTATCATTAGGGTCACTTTAGAGTAAATGAGTATACACTGGTCAAGAAATTGCTAACTTTTGAGAGATTAAATACTTCAACAAGGGCTGGGGATTTAGCTCAGCAGTGTAAGCACCTGCCTAGCAAGCACAAGGTTGCAAGCTCGATCCCTGCTACCAAAAACAAAACAAAACAAAACAAAACAAAAAAAACTTCACCAAAACAAAATATATTTGTGTACTTATTTTATTTACTGATCTCTCTGAAACATGTCAAAATTCATGGCTAATGTAACTTTCCACACTAAAATGTTTTACAAAAATATTTTAATGCAGTGCCTGCCTTTCACTCTGAGGAATTCACCTGTGAAATTATCTTTGGACAGTAAAATCATATTACAGATACAGGATAAATACACAGTTGTGATAGTCATCCTTAACATCTTACTTACAAGGAAAAATGAACAGGGTACCATAAAGTACAAAGATTTACCAGTTGGATACTCTGTGGTCCTTCTGAGAAACTACAGGTGAGACGTAAGCAGTATCTGTCACACGGTGGTTCAGGCCACCACAGTAATCATCGTTCTGCCTGCACATTCAGACGACTGCTACTGTTTTATCACTAAAAGCCAGATCCAAAGTCAGTCACTGAAGAGTTTAAATTGGGAAAGCTTAAGGTAAAGGACACCTGTTACTAACTTTGACATAATTGAGACTACACTACGAGCAACTAGACACACTTTCTGATTAAAAAAAAAATCAAGTTAATACTTTGCAATTAATCCTAGTTACTATATATATTTATTGATTATTAACAGTGCAAAATTTATGCTCCAAAAGAAATATAACAATCCACCAAAATGATTACATTTAACTTTCTCTTAAAGGCAGATGAATTAAATGTAGGAACTGGCTTTTCCTGGTATTTTATTTTTAAAATTATTGATGCATGTTTATCACAGAAATAATTATACATTTTGCAAAAAGTCTCTATAAAATGTTTCTAAGATAGATGCATTTCTTGTTCAATTACCAAAAAATAATGGTTCCGTAATGAAAAGCATTTATAGTCCTACAGCTCTAAGATTGACATTAAAAAGAAAATCCAAAAAATGATCTCTTGGCTTTTGAATAGCCCACTTCTTTTCTGTCCCAATACTTTCTCAATTTCAAAAGATATTTACTTCCTGCAAACAGGACAAACAGAATCTTTTCAAACTGTCAGTCTGTTTCCATGGTAACATTGCGGGCCTCCTTGGCTACCATGAGTCGCATCAGCTGACTGTGGAACTTTTCAATCTTCTTCACATCTTGAGCTTGATCTGTTCTGTACACCAAACACTGTCCAGAAGTTTAGAAGCACACGTTAAGTGAAACCAGACAATGGCAGTGCAGAAAACATATAATTGAGTTAAAACATTAGTGTCTTTCTTTTTTTTGTCTTTTTCCTTTTTATCGGTACCCGGGATCGAACTCATGACTGCCTGCTTGCAAGGCAGGCGCTTATGCCGCTGAGCTAAATCCCCAGCAAAACATTAGTGTCTTTCCTATCATTGTTTTTCTCTAATTTCTCTGGAGGCCACACTAAAGAAACCCATCAAATTCCCAATCCTCCAGGAATTCAACTCCTTAAAGACAGTATTTTAGCCAGGTGTGCTGGGAAGTTTGTAATACCAGTACTCAAGAGGCTAAGGCAGGACTATCAAAGTTTGAACCCTGCCTAGGCAATTAGCAAGAACTTGCCTCAAAATAAAAAATAACGAAGGAGCTAGGAATGTATTTCTTGCAAAAACTATGGTTTCCCTCCAGTACTACAAAAACAAAACAAAATAGAACAATCAAATGCCAAGGTTTTTTGTTGTTTTGGTCTTTTTGGGACAAGGTCTTGCTTGCAGTTCAGGTTGGCCTTAAGCTTACTTTGTAGCCCAGACTGGTCTCAAACTTCGAACAATCCTCCTGCCTCAGCCTTCCAAGTGCTGGGCTTACAGGAGTGTGTCATCACGTCCAGTTTGTTGTTTGTCTTTTTGAGACAAGAGTCTCGCTGTGCAGTTCAGGCTGGCTCTGAGCTCACTTTGTAGCACAGGCTGGCTTTGAATTAGCAACAATCCTCCTGCCTCAGCATCCTAAATGCTGGATTACAGGTGTGAGCCACCACACCGGCCCAAATGCCAACTGATAAGTGCCACTGATATAGATGAAAAACTATACAAACCCCACCAGAAACTTCTCAAAAGTTCCAAATGCCTAGTCAAGTGTATGTATGGTATTTTATCAAGAGACCAATACACATTTTTCGGGTAAAAAAACAGGGGACAGGAGACCAAGGGCAAGGAAGAGGCCAGATACAGATCTGAGTTTCTCACAAGGTGGATGACATTGCAACTTACGGAAGAGGAGGAGCCAGGTAGAGAGGACCAGACATGTTCCACTTCAAGGGGATATGTCAGCTAAAGATATTCATTAGGAGTTAGACACCACAAGTTAAATAGGAACTAAACATACAAATCTGGAGGCAGACAAAGATACAGGTAGTACTAGGCTTGACTTAAGGGTACTGCTTCAGAAGAGATTGAAAAGACAACCTATGACAGAATCCTGGGAAAACAAAGAAGCAATTAGCAAAAAAAACCAAAAGAACAAAAAAACAAAACAAAACAAAAGCCAACATAAAATGGAGGCACAAGTGTCAAAACAATGATTCCCATGAATGGTCTTCCTATCAAAAGCAGCAAGATAGAGCAAGTTTTAAACTGAGTGGTCTCCACTGGTTTGAAAATTAAGGCACTGCTGATGAACTGTCACCAAAAGAAGTGTCAGTGAAATCTGCCCTGAGAACCCAATGAAAGCGGGCTAAGGAATGAATGAACTATGAGGAAGACTAGAGGAGGAAAAGAGCAGACACAGCAGGGACGGAGAACATTTTACAGCCTTCAGTGGCACAGCCTGCTGCCCACAGGCTCACCACCACTGGGAGAGGGGGCAGCAAATACTGTTTACTTCTCACACAAGAAACTTGGAGCCTTTACTCCTTGATACCCACTTTTAGTATCTATTATACCCTTGCTTAAGGTGTGAAGAGCATGACTGCTGCGCCATGCCCACGTACTGCCTCTCACAAAAGCAAGTTATCTCCTGAGGGTCAGTCTGTAAAAGCAGCTTCTAAATCAAGTGTGGTGGCCCATGCCTGTAATCCCAGCGTTTGGGAGGCTGAGGCAGGAGGATCACAGGAAGTTCAAAGTCAGTCTCAACTACAAAGAAAGATGAGGTCTCAAACAAAAGCAGCTTCTAAAATTAAACTCTTCATACTGAAATGAAATGCAAAATAAGCAACGCAATGGCTAATCTGCATAATTCTATGTAAATCATCTCAAACAAATGATTAATTCAACTGTACATCTATAAATATGCAACAAATAAAAATGTATACTTACAACTGAATCATCTGTTACTTTAATACACAAATTCCCATCAGCATGCCTATATTTGAGAACCACTCGTGCCTAAAATAAAAATAAATATTCAGAAACAATAAAGAAAACATTACTCATAAATAATCTAGCCTTCAGATGGACCAAAAAGGATCTTTTTTTTTGGGGGGGGGGGGTTTACCGGGGATCAAACTCAGGACCTCACATCAGCCACACAGGTGCTAAAAAGAATCTCTTTAGAAGACCCAAAACACCTAAAGACATCTTTACTGCAATCTTACCATTACTGAAATATTTTGAAAAAAAAAAACAGTCATTTCAGTTTGCTCCTATTGCTACAATTTATTTTTTTAAGTTAACTATATTTTATTTGCAACTGCCTTGAGGAGATGTACTAAAAATTCCAAAACACATCCATACTCAGGAAATGTCTGTGAGGCTATCAGGTAGTTTGGCCCTTCTTGCTGGTAAGTACATACAACAATATAATTAGCAAGAGGAAAAACAGGACCAGGGATAAAGATCAGTGGCACAGCACCTGCCTCCTCCCTGGCAAGCACAAGAGTTTAATTCCCATACCACGTTCCCCCTCTCAAGAAAGTAAAAATAATCAGCACAAATGAATAGTTAAAAAGTCCAAAACCCGAGCAGGAGATTTAGCTCAGTGGCACCAGTGCCCGCCTGCTGAGTGCGAGGCTGTGAGTTTGATCCCCAGTACCAAAAGAAAAGAAGTCCAAATCCATCCAAGAAACACTGCTGTGATCCAGTTCATACTTTCTACTTTTCTACAGCTCCCAGGAGATGGACTCAGACTAAAGTATTCAGTTAAACAATTCACAACACGATACTTTACTTTTAAGCAGAATTATGCCTTGAAAAGAAGACTGTATCAGTAACTTTTCCCCAAACTAATACCTTGTGCATGCTACATAATACTTTTTTTGTTTTGAGACAGGGTCTTGCTATGTAGTTCAGGCTGGCTTTTAACTCACTACACTGTGATCCTCCTGTTCAGCCTCCTGAGTGCTGGGATCACAGTCATTCACCACTTATACCTGGCTGCATAACACTTTGTGTACAGTACTGTACAGTTAGATAGCCGAGACATGATTCAGATATTTGTAATACCTTACGGGTGGATGTGAGCACAGCATATTGCAGCAGCATCAGGTTTTTGCTAAGGACTATCAGTAACATTTAGCCAGCTGTTTATTCTTTGCACTGCTGAGACTGCAAAAAATATGTTACATCTTGATGAAATTTGTCTTGATGAGGGAGAAATGGGAACTCATTAAGAATTTAAGTAGATATACATAATAATGACCACATTATGTAAAGAACACATGACTTAATTGTTTTATATATTTTAAGAAATACAATTTTTTACAAACAAAAAGAAACTAAAATTTTAAAATATACTACATGTGACAACTAAGAAAATTTTTAGCTGTTAGCTAAAAGAATATTCTCTGGCTTCATTAGAAATAATGATTCAAAAACATCTATATTTTGTTTACCCAGGGGGAACTTCCAGGCAAAAATTCTCTACAGTCTCATGGTATAATGCTTGACTGGAAAAAAAAAAAAAACAATGGGTCTGCAAGTAAAAGGAAAATCAGCAATCACCAATGTCACAAAGCTTTCCATTTCAACAATACCTTAATCATTTCACCATTTACCACAGACCTATAAAATAAGCTATTATTGTATCACTTTAGAATGGTATACAGAATGTTTTGCTTCTTGTTGCTTATCCGTCTTTCCATGGCCTATTTTTAATTACAATAACAACATATCTTGGTGCACAGTTTAAATTAATGCTTATTACAAATAGTGTAATAATGTAGTGCTGGAGCTACAGGTTACTAGACAATGTATACCTTTAAAACACAGTACCTGTTATTTATTCACTTTATTAATTAGTGCAATTTAGATATGCACAATGATCACATTTCTCGTAGGGAATTTGTGCCTGTACATGACATCTCTTAATTCTCTTTTTCCCATTCCCCTCCCCCTCCCCCTCCCCTCTCTTCAAACCCTCTTCGTCTCTTTTCCAAGCTTTGTTTCCATTTTATTTTTTTTCTCACCTTTTTGTTATCTATTGATGATTAAAAATCTTACATAGTAATCTTGAGTGCAGTTTTCTTAGATTAACTGATTTTCATTTTCTTCATTTTCCAAAGGTCATATTCACAGTACGCGTACCTATATCGGCCTAAGGGACAAGTTGACTCTTTTTGTCTCCCTCAAAGCTTAATCTGACTTGATGACACAGGGAGGAAAATCACTGGCAAACCTTTTACAGAAATGTGCGTTATTGTAAGGAGTGTGAACATCCGCCAAGTTCTCAAAAGATCACTGACCCCTGAAAAGGCTGCAAATGCCTAGTCCGGGGAGCGGTACCGGTGCTTCCAAAAGGCACTCCGAGGGCTGCCTGAGCGGTAGCAGAAAATTACCACCATCTTGTATTCACGACGCCGCGACGTCCTGGAGGCGGGGACTCAGCACCTGGACAGCAGCGCTGGGGGGCAGGCGTCCGGCCTCGCGAGCTCACGGACTGGCCCGAACAGAGACGCGGATGGGGCTGAGTCCGCACTTGGGCTCGGCCGGCGGCGTCCCTGCTCGCCTGCCACACGCCCAGAGTACCACGACAGCTCCTGCGGCCTGAGCAAGCCTCGGTAGCGACTCACCTTCATTGGGTCCGCGAGGTAGAGCTTCTCGGCCGCGCGACTGAACTCCTCCCAGGTCTGGTACTGTGGCATTTTGGCCGGGATTTGTACTCAAGGCCTCCAATCCACCCGCCGCCGCAACCGCCCGAAGAAGGCGGTGCCCTTCGTAGAAACAACACCTCTCCTTATTGGACGGTCAGGCTGCACTCGGCCAATGGGCATGAGGGATATTGCGGCTTGGGGTGGCTGTGAGGGCGGGCGCAGAGAGATGGCGACAGTTGCAGCGCCTCCTGCAGGACTAGAGTGACGGTGTCTGTTCACCTTCCTGCAGACCCAAGGAGCTTGAGGGTCTGGCTGTCATTGTTTGCCCAGGAAAAGAGGGGAAGGCATAATACAATGCACTGGAAAACTTTCCAAGGTAGTCTCTGATACTGGTACGTCTTTAGTTGGGGTGGGGCTGAGCTTCCCACTGCCTGGACAGGATTTTGGAGCTGTGCCCTCCATGCAGTCGATGACATAGAAGGAAACTTTTTAAATAAAGTTTACTGAGGATTATTGTAGAAAACACAGTTTGATGCAGCGTGACCCTGGGTATATGCACCTGCCCAACACCACAGTGCAGATGTAGACGGAGTCAAGGTGTGGTGATGTATACCTGTACGCCTGTAATGCCAGCATTCAGGAAGCTGAAGCAGGAGGATTGCTGCAAGCTCAAGGCCAGCCTAGGCTACATAATGAGTTCAGGACCAGCTTGAACTACACAGCAAGACTCTGCCTCAAAAATAAATACATAAATAAATAACAGCAAAAAAGTGGTAGACAGTTCTATCATTTCCAGGAAGTTCCCAGTGCTTCTACATATTCAGTCCCCTTACATTCACTCTTGGTTCCGAGGATATGCTTTCAACTACTTGGAGCAGATCTGCTTCCTTTTGTGTCTGGGTTTTGCTGTGTTGTCCAGCCTGGCCTCAAACTTCTACACTCAAGCAATCTTCCTACCTCAGTCTCCTAAGTAGGAGGGAATGCACTTACGCATTTTATAGGGCTGCAGCAGTGGGTCAAGCCTGATCTGACACGGTACAAGCCCGGAGTTGTGAGCGGGTTGTCAAAGATTCTGTATTTTCTAGGGAATTTTATAGAGTAAAATCATGAGGTAAGGCAGAGCTAAAGTGAAGAAAACTGGAAAGTCCCAAGGCAGATGGGCATGAGGTGGGACACAGTTATGTTCAGTTCTAGCTGTGATGGTCATGAGGTTTCTTTGATACTTCCAGCTGAGATGTTTGGTAGCTGAGTTGGAGTCTCAGTCTGACAGTTCAGGAATGGATTGCAGTAGGAGTCCTCAGCAGACAGAGCAGAGTTAAGAAGCTGTAGTGTAAGGAGAGATGACTTGGACAAACCCTGGGAAACAATCACATTGACCATTTAGAGAGAAGACACAGAGTCCACCAGAGAGGCACGGCAGATTCTCAGAGAGCTAAAAGGCGACTAGGGTTGTTTGAGGAGTGAGAGACCAAGAGGATTTTGAGGAGGTAACAGTCAGTATATATAAGGATTAAGCAAAATGAGAATCAAAATGAGCTGGCTGACTGTAGTTATTTTGAGATCACATGGGACCTGGACCAGAAGAGTTTCAGTTGTATTGGAGTTCACACTGGAACTGACCCTAAGAACTGAAGAGGTAAGAAATTAGTAGCCACTGCTTTATACTGTTATCTATATCTGTCATGAACAGAAGAGATTAAGATGGCCAAAAGGAGATACCAGGCAATGAAAGAGTGTTATGTTTTAAGATGCAAAGATTTTGGCATTTTTATAATTCATAGATTCAGAAAGATGGAGACATCAAAAATAAAGGAGAAAGAAGAAACAAAATATTCTCAGGGGAAACATTAATGTTAGGCTCAAAGGCCTAGAGCCATGAAAACAGGAGGCTCCTATTGCCTCTGAGGCAGAGGGGAAGAGAAAAGAGGTGGGTGAGAGTGTGAGCAGATAGGTAAATGCAGGGGCGAGAAGATGCTTTCTCTTTATCACACAAGAAGCAAGACCATCTTCTGAGCTGAGAGAGAAGGGGTAGGTTTGGAGCCTTAAGATTTGGAAAAGCCATTGTGGGGAATAAGTGAGGAACCCAACAAAACTCTCAGAAGCAGACCATTGGTAGATCTGAAAGTTGATCGCAAAGGCGGTGCTCTGGAAGTAGTCCTCGATGGGTTTGTCTCAGCATGGAAAGGCAGCGCTAGAGATTTTTTTAGTGCATAAAGTAAGACAAAAGGTCAAGAACAATACCAACAAGAGACTATTGGATCCAGGCTAGATAGATAGCAATTAGTTGGACCCAAAAAAAGCTTAAAGGGACAAGACTTCAAGAAAATTTGAGTATAATAAGAAAAAGGAACTGGAGTTATAGCTAAATATTGGAATTTGTAGTTTCAGAGGAGCAGTGGTTCCTGAAGAGCTGCATGGTTAGTTGTGTTGTCCACACAAATATTAAAATCACTCATCTATATAAAAGGGGATAAGATGAAGTCTGTAATCTAGGGGCTTAAATCCTCAGCTAATAGAAATATGATATTGGAAGAAGGAGTGTTTTGGGGTTGGGAGCCATAGAGAACAATAAAAGACTGATTTCCATTGTGAGGTCTCCAGTATCTCATAACTCAGCCTTCTCCAGCTTCTGAAGAAGAGTTGAAATCAAAACAAGGGAGTAAGGGGACTGTCCTTTATAATTCAGATGTTGCCAGCTACCCTGAGATGCATTCTTTAAGTAGATCATTCTTTGCCAGCTGTGGAGACATGGCTTCCAAAAGACTATCAGAGAGGAGAGTATCCTTGATAAATTGCTCACATTGGCACACAAGGTGAGAAAAAGAAAATTTTCTTTGTCAGTCAAGAAAAGCAAGGTTTCTTTAATTTTGTGGTTATCTTTTCTGCTTTATTTAATTTAATTTGTTTATTTATTTAGTCTTTTCAAGATAGACTTTTGCTATGCCATTCAGGCTAGCCTTCAGCTCACTTTGTAGCTGAACCTTTGTAGTCTGGCCTTGAACTCACAGTGACCCTCCTGCCTTAGCCTCCTGAGTCCTGGAATTACAGGTCAGTGCCACCTCACCTGGCTTTTTTTGCTTCATTTTTATACCGACATCTCATCTGAGCCTTAAAACAACATTGCCAAGTTGGTTGTTATCACAGTTCCAAAAAGTGTAAAAAGTTCTAGAAGATAAAAGTATCTTGGCAACTCCTTTGGTGAAAAACTTGGCCTGACCTCCACTAAAATGGTTTAAATCATTTAAAGTTGATTTGGCCCACTTAGTATGTGTGATTATAGAGTGGAGCCCACATTCTACTGGCAGTGGTATGTAATATATACACACACACCATATTATCTTTCTAGACTATAACAGGCGGTCTCTAATGCTAATCTTTTCAACAACCATGTTCTCCTTGGCTCCAACATTGCATATACTTCCTCTCAGGCCAATCTGAAAAAGTTTCACATTTTAGAGCTATGCTGCTGATTCTCACTGTAAATCTGGTTGAAAGCAGCCAGCAATATCCATGCCACAGCCTGGACATTGAGTTTCTTCGAAATTTCCCCCCTGGATTATTTATACCTTCAATTTTAGCTTCATGTAAAGTCTTCAGTCATGGGCCAAATGAAGACAAGTTCTTTGCCAGAAAGTAACACACATTATCTCTAGGGCATTTTTCAGTAGAGCCCTTATTCAAATCTGAAGCGTCCTTACTCTGGGCTTTACTATTTGCACTCCTATCAGCATTTTGATTTTCTGAGCTCCAACCAGAATCACCCATTAAGTGAGGTTACAGCATTCTAGGTCTTCTCTAACCAGCATCTTCAGACCTTTCTAAACTCCCCTATAAACCAGTTACAAAGGCTTCTGAACCACATGATCAGGTATAGTTACAGTAAAGACCTTACTCCTGGTGTCAGTTTTCCATGTTAGTCACTTTTTCATCTTTGGAACAAAATATCTAGCATCTATACTTAAAGAAGGAGGGTTTATGAGGCTGAGGATTTAGTTCAGCAGCATAAGCGCCTGCCTTGCAAGCACGTGGTCGTGAGTTCAATCCCGGTGCCGATTAAAAAAAAAGGGGGGTTAGCATCGGAGATTTAGCTCAGCAGAACAAGCACCTGCCTGGCAAGTACAAGGTCATGAATTTGATCCCTGGAACCAAAAATAAATAAATAAAGGAGGGGTTTATTTTGGTTCACAGTTTTAATGGGTTTAGTCCATGGTTGGCTGTCTCCAAGGAAAAAATGGTAGAGCATATGATGGAGGAAAACTGCTCATTCCATGGTGGCCAGAAAGTAAAGTTTGATAGGGGGAGGAGAGAGATAAGAATATACTCTTCAGGTAATCATCTCAGTGACCTATGCCTTCTTTGACCAGGCCCCTCCTCTGAACATGAGCCTTTGGGGGACATTTTTTTTCACTTTTTTTTTTATTTTAGAAAAAAGATTAAGATAAAAGAGGACATAACAAAACAGGTCAGAACAGAACAATTTAAGCAACATAGTGTTTCACCACAAGACAACTTGACATAACAGTAGCTACCATAGTGTCTCTTTCCTTGAAACATTTGAGTATATCTTCATATACTATAGTATCAAGCATAACAAGACAGTATAAAACCTTCAAGAGAATGAAAGTATTACAGAGTATTCAGAACCAACTAACAGAAAACGAACAATGGTTATTATATTATCTCCTTGTCCATAAAAACTTTGTTTATACTATCACATATAATAAAATCCAATAAGATACAACATGATAAAATCGATGGAGACAGAAGAACAAAAGCTTGGTAGGACTTCAAAACAAGATGATATTAAATCAGCACTAGCTATTATGTCTTGTTTTTTTCAAAATAACTGTCATACCATCACAGACAATAAAATCAAACAACCCAGAATAAAACCATTCTAACTAAAGAATGAGAACTATAAGGCTTCAAAGTAATACAACGGGGAATCATGATTACCACATACTTTAATGTATTCTTACCATTTCTTACACTAGGGAGACTATTTGGTATTTATACATGTGAGTTTGATTTATTTCACTCGTGAGTATGGTCTCGGGCTGCATCATTTATAAATATCTCAATGTGATCATTCTTTATAGCTCAGTAGTACTCCATTGTATAAAAATACCACAACTTTTTTATAAAAATATGGA